AACAAGCACACAAACAGCATGTGAATATAGACAATCACGACACATGAGCATCACTACACATGTGCTTGCTTATCAACAAACATAGATATTAACATCGTTGATTGACATTAATATCGCCGATTGCATTGTTTTTAGGAAGAATGTCTAGGTAGCAACTCGACAAAGTAAGATTAAGTTTGCCAATGAAAAAGGAAAAGCTCCAATGAAGATAGATGTTGACCCATTCTCTCTTATGACCAAGATGGTATTGGTAAAGATAAAGGGAAAAAAAGCCACATCAGCCAAATTTGTGTGTTCGACGTAAGCAGGAAATTGGTCAAAGCCACTATACTCCACCCAAAGAGAAGAAACCACAGGCAGGATTCCCCAGTCAGAACACGAGTTATAATTGCTGATTGATTCGTATTAATAATCCCAATACTATCGGTCAAGCGAATCGCCTTAGAATATTCTATCAAATTACCTTTCCTAGGGGCAGGCCACGAAGAAAAAGTCATTCAAGCAAAGGTACGATGAAGAAATCCTATTGTCGGTACATTAGGAGAGCCAGGTAGCAAATTTGATTACTATATCAGTATGGGCCACCGACACCATTCCATCGAAATGTTGTTCCTATAGGATGGGGTGAAGAGTTTTGTGAATTGGCTCCTGAAGATACCAGTTCACCTACGTCGTCGAAGCTAATTGATCATATAATCAACTAATGGGAAGAGACTAGATTCATGGAAAACAATGTGTCATCTTCCCTGCAACAAATGCTAGCCTTTTGGAACGAAGACAAGGTTGAGTACGTTAAGGCTAACCAAAGTACATTAAGGCTAACCACAACACTTATGCGACCTAGGCACGTGCACTAAGGGTAAATCAAGACTGTAATAGAATAGTCATCAATAATTCTTCCATTATAAAACCTCCAAGAGTTGATCCTAGAGAACTGGCTTTCTGCTGCTTTGATAACGAAAATGTTGATTGGATTCCTAAGGATGAGTCGGCGGAACAATTGCACATGGTTGTATATGGAGAACCATCCATTGTTGGAAGACCTCGACGAGAGATATTCAGCCTACTTGGCTGAAGAGACTAAGCTATTTGTTGATATCACCGATTGCATAGCAGAATCTAAACAATTACCACTAAAAGAAGATGATAGAGTAGCAGAGGCTCAAGATCCACTAATTGAAGTTGATATCGGAGACGCACTATGTCATCGGCCAATTTTTGTCAATGTTTTACTAGACAATGATTTCAAGGTGCAACCAGTCGAATTATTGAGGAAGCACAAAGATTGTTTTGCCTGGAATTATCATGCGATGCCAGAATTAGGAAAAGATGCTGTAAAATTCAAGTTGCCAATCAAAAAGGGATTTCGACTACACAAGCAACCTCGTAAGGGGTTTACTCCGGAAGTCATTCTCAAGATCAAAGAAAAATAAGAGTGACTTTTAGCAGCAAGTTCATTAAAATCGCATGGTATGTCGAATAGCTTTCCAATGTAGTTCCCAAAAAGAAAAAGAATGGTAAACAAAAGGTTTGCATTGATTTTAGAGACTTGAATGCCACAACCCCTAAAGATGAAAATCAAATGCCATGGATGGCATGCGGGTTGATTTGGCATTTAGTAATGAGATTATGTCTTTAATGGACGGCCATTCAAGATACAATCAAATATTCATAGCGGAGGAAGCTTTGCACAAATTGCATTCAAATGTCTTGGAGCCATCAGCACGTTCGAATGGTTAGTGATGCCAAAGAATGCTGAAGTTATGTATCGGAGAACAATGAACTTCATCATCCACGACATGATTGGGGACTACATGGAAGTCTACATCGATGATATCATCGTCAAATCAGACCTAGTAAGTCATATGGACTATCTTGAGTAAGCTTTTATTAGGATGTAAAAGTTTAAATTGAAAATAAACCCATTGAAATGTGCCTTTGGAGTTAGGACTGGCAATTTCTAGGATTCCTAGTTAATTAGAGATGAATTGAGATAGATAAGAATTGTTGGTGCTAACAATACAACATAAAAGGGGGTTGAATAGGTTGTGTGGTGATATAGTTAAACTTTTGCGAAATATCAAACAAACACCACTCAAGATAGTGATAGATGCGAGATAGCGTGTGTGATGCTAATAAGTAAACAAAGTGTAGAATGAAAATCACACATCAATATTTAGTAATTCAACTTTATACCCAAGTCTACGTCTTCTCTCCAACTAATAGCTTTATGGCGATTGGATTCCATTAGTAATCAATAGTGCAAGTTACAACTGACTAGTGATATTCCTTTCACTTGATTGATCACACTATCATGACACACGTACTACATTTATACTTGTACACTTAACCATTAGCTATTACAGTGCTAAACCAATAGAGAGAGAAACACATAACAAGATCAGAGATGTTTTCCAACTTAGCTCGTACAAGCAGTATTCAATGTGTGTAACCTTCTACACAGTTTCGCTGCTCCTTATATACTTAAATCTTCGATATATCCATTGAAGAACTTCAAGGACACTCAGCTAGACATTTGAGAGTTGAATGGGCTTCTTGGTTTTTTTTTTAATTACAGTTTTAATCTTAGTTCTCTTGGCGGAAATCACTATCTGTAGATAGCCATAGAAAACGGGGACGCGGAATGCTGCTGGAAATTGGTCATCGGAGATGGAGGTCGATGCATTCAGACGCCTCTTCCCTCTTCGCTACCATGAGCGGCATCCCTCCGAATCGATACGCCTCGATGCGAGACGCATCAAAAGAGCCAGAGATACAGTTGTGTCCCTCAGTCAGTTCGTTTAGCTCTTTGTTTATCTTGTGATTTGCTGTTTCCTCCTTCACCAAGCCCTCAGAAGTTGCATTCCTCCCACATTTCATTAGCAGCATAAGTAACGCAGGGGCTGTTGTATCCTCTGATGAGTCTGCGCTGTCGTTGATTGGTGGTTCCACTGTGAGTTTTTTCCCCTTTTCAATCTCTCGTGTAGATACGAGGCATGCCGACGCACTCCTGCACTTCAGCAAGTTCGAAGTAGCTGCATTGCATTTACTTGGAGCTGAAGCAACATATGAGTTCTATTTCTTCCATTCTATTTGTTTTGTTGTTTAACTTTTACACGCAAGCGAATCATTCGAGGTGGACATTAATTGTTATTCTTATCAAGACTATAGGGTTTGCTCTTTTACGATTACATTTAATTAGTACACGCACAATCATTTTTTCCACAACAACCTAGGCTGCTATAAAAGGTGCTATGCATGGACGCTGGCATATGACTTTGTGTTATTTTCAGCGGTTGAGTTTCATATGCCCCCTTATATCCTCTCCAGTTGTGAGGCTGGGTAGGCCGGCCGACGTAGCACCGGTGATATCGAGGCGGGACCCTAGGGTTCTCGACATAGTAATTGATTTTTAGCGAGAAATCGCTGACGTGGACGTTTTGATAGTCCTATGTAGCACGGTCGGCAGATGACCAGTGCTGATGTAGACTTTTTTTTTTATAATATTGTAAAAAAAAATTGAATTACTTATTAATTTTTAAAACAGGTTACGTGACGCCGTACGACACAAATAAAGTATATGATTTTAGGTATATGGTTATGCTTAGTATGATCATCAATTTAGCACGAAAGGATTAATTATTTCCAATGTGCGGAATTATTGACATTCACGAGTATCAATCCAAATCCAACACTACTACTTCGTCAACAAATGACACGTGGCGAAATCGGAGAGAGTTGACCAAATAAACTCCCCGCCCTACACGGTCAATGAATACGAAGGCCACACGGCCGAGCCGACCAAACCCCCCGCCCCGCCCCGCCCCGCCCCGCCCCGCCCGGGCCCTTTCCACGCTTGACTAATCATCCCCGAAGAGCGTTACTACTCCGCAAATGCCCTCGCCTCTTCCTTTATTTACACGAACGCCATTCTGGTCATCGCCGTAATTTCGGCGACTCCACGAGGGCCGTTTAGTCCAATCGAGTGAGAATTCGGAATCGTCACAGTGGAGGCGCAGTCTGCAGGTACGGAGCGAAGAAGCGAAGCTTCTCTGTAACATCTCCCTCTCTCTAAGATCATTCCTTCCTCTTTTTGACTTGGCGATGAAGAACGATCGACATTTTCCGGGAAGCCTCCCCGATTCGCGGACTCTTCCTACTCGCGACGCGTGAGAGATTGTTCCCCCGTTTGCGCTCCGATTTCCTGTGCCGAGTCCGTGGATAGTCGCCGCATTGATCGTGGTGGTTGGTGCGTGGTTCTTCGCCGGTTCCCTGCGCCTGTCGATCCGAAGCAGGTCGAATTCCATTTTGATCGGCGCAATTCGGGCGTCGTCTTTGATTGTTTGCTGCTGCTGCTGCTGCTTTTGATTTGTTGAATGGGTTGTGGTAGGATTTTTGTGCCAGGCTGTTTTTTTCCGGCGAGGTTTTAGGTTTTAAAATCGGTTCATTGCTTCGGCGGTGGAATCGGCGATTGTTCCATCTCGATGAGTGATCGTCCTGTCCTACTTCTCGTTAGTTGTGCGTGGGGTTCGGTTTGTGTGCGACGCTTGCATTTCGAAGACACGCTAGCGCTTCAAGTTAGGGTCTTGGCTTGGAATGAAGATGTGTTCTTATCGATAATCTAGCAATTTGATTCTTTTAGCTGCCGGAACATGGTGGGTTGTGATTCACCTTTCATCGGTTGGCTAGTTTTTGAGTCATCTGCTGCTGAATAACATCGTGCGTGGTCGGGCTATACGTGACTCCTGGAGACTCTCTTCACCAGAGATGCGGTCGCGGCTTCTTGGTTTTCCTCCATCCTTTTGTTGGATAATGGATACATCATTTCATGTGGATAGATAATTCCCTCATGTGCTTGAGCAGTCAATTTAGATTTATGTCGGATCATCTCGTGTTTCTCCTTGCCTTATTGATTGAGCGGTGTTGTTCTACTTTATCGAGATTAGATTGTGATCATGGTATTGCTTTGCAAAGTGAATTAATGAAATTGGTATTTGTAGGTTGATCTCCCGTCATAATCAGTTCTTGCGGATTAGGCTACAATGCGTGCACCGTCCTTGCTTGCACAGTGTCTACCTGGGTTCACGCCCCATGATCGTGGGAGTCAGAATGTGCCATCTATTCTGGAAAGAGACTTGGGTCTGCCTTCTCCAGCTGTGGAAATTCTTCCATCGAAGGTAATGTATATAGTCTGTGGTATATCTGATAGTGAATTCAACCAGTGAACTTAAAAAGGTTCACTTTGTAATGCTTCATGACACCTGAATATTCTTCTTGTCCAATGTGCAGACAACTCATCCTTACAAATATGCCGGAGAAAGTGTCGATATGCAAGGCCTTACCATGTTTAAGGTACCTATGTGGAAGCTTATTATTTTTTATTTTTTGATAAGCAGGTATCTGCCCCTTATTAAAGGTGTGTCCATTATATACTTCTTTTATGTATCGAGCCTTGTCTGTTGCTATCTACCTTGTCAGGGGCATATTCATATTTTCAAAAATGTGGTTGCAGATTCTATTAGGAAGTTATGCGTGTGTAAACTCACAAAACTATGAGCAGCTTAATCTCTTTCATGTGCTTTAGTGCCTGGCAAACTATCTTGGCTGGATAACTTGAATGGAGCTATGACATGCTAATATTCTCAAAGTTCTTGTTTGTGTTCGGGCGTTTGAAGAAAATTATAGTGACACGTTCTTGTTATTATGACAGGGAAGGGTTAGTGTTGCGGACATAATTGGGTTCACAGGCTCAGAAATGATATCATCAAAACCCGATGGTATGCACTTTATATGGAAAATTGTGAAGTTGACCGGGCATATTCTTAACATGTTTAAACTTAGATACAAATTAAAATTCATACTGGTGTCATGAAGTCATGTGTTTGTCTGGGTCTGCAGGGTATTTGAAGTCTTGGGACAATTCTTTTGATCTTGTCAATGTTCTTAAACATGAGATTCGGGATGGACAACTGAGCTTTAGAGGCAAACGGGTACTTGAGGTAATTAACTTCTAGTATGTTTGAGCTATATGGGGGTCTTGTGTGGATATTTTCTAGATTGCCTTCGGTGCTTAGAAGTGGACCTCTATCTTATTCGTGATTGACAAGTATCTGGATTTTGGACAAAGAGTTAACTTATGGATGTCGAGCAAAATAAATGAACTATTTGTTTGAGTATCACCTGTTGAAGTGAGGGGAAAAAAGATATATTAGCAAATTTATGATTTGGAGGCTGCCTCCACTTTTAACTCTTTTGTTCTTTCCTCTATGCTATATTCTCATTTTGAGGTCAAAGCAGCTTTTTGAATAAATCATCAAAATTCAGCAAATTTTTCTTGCTGCTGTCTTATATCAATCTTTTTTTTTGCGAATCTACAGCTTGGTTGCAGCTATGGACTTCCTGGGATATTTGCTTGCATGAAGGTACATCCTGTTGTATGATGTTTCTCTGGGGTAACTACATCTGTAATCTGTTGATGTGGGGAATTAATTATTCGTTATTTTGATAAACTTTTAGTTAAACTTAAACGGTTTCAGAGCATTGGCATAAAGTACTTTCTATGAGGCCGCCATTAGGACTCTAGGTTGAGATCAAGTGGAATAAAAAGATGGTCTCTTGATGCGTTACAAGGGATAGAAGAACTCATCCTGAAAAGCTAGCTTGCCAAGAGAGGAACCCAACCCATTATAAGCCATCAAGGGACCGCAGCCTTGAGGATAAAGTGCCAAAAGGTGGGCCTCCAAAGGGTGATTCTGATACCATGTTGATGCGTTACAAGGGTGTAAGAACTCAATCCAAAAAGCTAGCTTGCTAGGAGAGGGAACCCGACCCATTATAAGCCATAGAATATCTCCTTGGTTGTCCGGTGTGGGACTTTGCCTACATCATCTCTCTTTATTTAAAATCGCTTAATTGCTTATAAGTTTGAACAATTGATTTTTGGGCACTACGATTTTTGTTCATTCAAGCGATTCTTATAGTGCATTTGGACATATAAAAATTGAAAAGCATAATACTGAATAGGCTTTGTTTCATAACTAAAGAATCTTCTATTGGATTCTTAAATAAATCGAGGACAAATGTGAAATAATAACTTCTCCGAGCAGTTCTTTTAAGATTTTGGGAGCGGATTATTGGGGAAAATTTTGAAATCTTAAGCTATAATGATGAACAATCAGTAAGTCAGGGTGCAATTGCCCCCACATTGTTCAATGTAAGTCTGTCCATACTTCCGATCTTCTTTACTAAGCTTGTAAATAATATTGAACTTAGCACCAGCTGATTTTATGTTTACTATGGCACCCTCAGAAAGTTAGAATATGCTGTAGATTTGTTTTCAGGTATATCCATGAGTTTGCGCAACGTTGAGGCATTCGATTAGCTTGAATTCTCTATAAGCTACCTCATGTCTAAGATTTCTTGCTGTGCTATGTGTTTAATATACTTTATTGACACCACTAAGGAGGTTTGATTGCATGTGTCAAATGCCTTGGTTTTCCTTTTTTTTCTGCGGAAGCAAGTGTAACAGAGAAAATGCAAGAGAATTTCCATAGAAAAGTAATCATCCATTAATCCCATTAAAGTGTTATTCTGGGTTGCTTGTTAACGGGATTTATCATGTCTTTGCATCTATTAGTTTCGGTTTTTCAGTTGGGCTCTGAACATTGTATTAGAGTCATGTTTCAATGTGTTGTGGCTGATCTATATAAATGAATAATGACGATGTAGTCCCAAAGAATCACCTCTCATGATGACATATTCTAGATAACTAGAAAAGCCCCCGTCATATTGCAAACATTGGATTTGTTGCATTCTCTGCAGAGTATGCTCCAAGAGCATATATTTACTACTGACCATGGAACACTATATTTGCTATGCTTTTCTCACCTTGATGACTTGCCTTTTTATTATTATTATTAATTAGAAAAATATAAAAAAACTTACCTTATCTTTCTCCTAATAAACCACTTGCATACCTCTACTTTTGAAAATACCAAATACATACGTATCTGTGGAGACAACTTTGCACATTTACATCATTATCGTTATTATCCTAATTTATGAAAATGCAATATTCTTTTCAAAAATGCCCATCATCAAATCATAAATTCTTACACTCACCCAGAACACTCAAAAAGGGCGATTTGTCTTTTTGATGTGGGGTTTTGCTAAAGGTATATAAATAGTTTTTGCAAAAATAGAGGTATGTAAGTAGTCATTGGATCAAAATTGAGGTCTGTTTTTTGTATTTTCCCTTATTATTTATATTTGACTTTTCAATTTTGTCATAAAATAAGTGAAAAGCAGATGATTGTGCAAATTTTGTACAATGCTTGTGTCTTTGTTGATTATTATCCCTTTTAAAATAAAATTAGCTCTTCTTATCATTTCTGTTCGCAAGACGCCCGGTTCATGTCTAGTTAAAGCTTAATATGGATATTGTTTCCTTTTCTGTATTCAATGTATGTCCTTCATATGGTTTCTCTCAGGTTTGAACCTAGAGGGGTGCCAAAGCGCTATTCTACATTACTTGTTTACGGGATTTGACCTTGTTGTCTCCCTTCACCTAACAATTTAAGCATTTAAATTGGATTCTGTAAAAACTCATTCACCTTATTTTGCAGGGTGCTTGCACAGTGCACTTCCAAGATCTCAGTGCAGAAACGATACGGTGCACTACCATACCTAATGTGCTTGTCACCCTTGAACAAGCGAGGGACTGGCAAAGTCGGCAGCCAGAAAGCCCCTTGACTCCATCAAGACAAACTCTTGCTCCATCTGTGAATTTTTATGCAGGAGATTGGGAGGAACTCCACACTGTCTTGTCCGTTGTAAGGAATGAAGGTTCTGAACCAAACACAGGAATGCATGCAAGCTTTTCAGAGGAGGACTTTATGGATGGGTGCAGTAGTCAGGAGGGAAGCATTGCTGGGCAAGAGTTCTCCTCTAGGCGTTCAAGGAAGCTTTCAGGAAGCCGGGCGTGGGAGAGAGCTAATGAGGCAGATCATGGAGATGGCGGTTATGACGTTATTTTGATGGCAGAGATTCCATACTCTTTAACCTCTCTAAAGAAGTTATACGCACTTTTAAAAAAGGTTGGTTCTTGTTTGCTTTATGGTACCTTTTTTCTCCGGTAAGCCGGGATGTTTTTTTATGTAACTACATCTGCTCTGCGCTCGCTGCCCAAAGTCCTCATGACTTGTCTTCTCCTACCATATGTTGGAAAAGCGCATGTTCTCTGGTCGTGGGGTTTGCCTCTCAAGTTCTTCCTTGCTAAGCTCTTTTGCATGTTTCCGTCTGAGGTGATTTTACTTACTGTCTTTAATGTCTTTGACAAAACAGTGTTTGAGACCTCCATATGGAGTAGCGTACTTGGCTACAAAGAGGAACTACGTTGGCTTCAGCACTGGAGCAAGACACCTTAGAAGTTTGGTCGATGAAGGCGGCATTTTCGGAGTGCATCTTGTTAAAGAGATGGCTGACAGAGATATATGGAAGTTCTTTCTCAAGTAAAGCCGAGGCAGAAAGTATCATGTATCCCAATTATCGACACAGAAGTTATCGTACTTGTATTGACATTACTCAGTATATGAATGATGTAAATGAGGATATATCCCCACGCTTTTTTTCCCCAAAAAGCAATAATAGAATTTAGAGTAGCAGATACTTAGCGTGCATCAGATAAATTTGTAACCTCTTCTCATATTTCATTGATTCTTTTGTCCCCTGCATTTGTTCCCTTTAGTCTGTAATTTTTAAGGGACATTTGTAATGACTGCAAATTAATATTTCATTTGAAGTTGTCATCCATTTTTTCGGTTGTTTTGGGTAGGGCACTCTTGGTTAATCTACTTTGCCAAGAAACATAAAAAAATAAAATAAAACATAATGTGTGCTGTAGCCGGTGCTTTTATGTTAAATATGCAATTATGCATCGCGACGTTTTTGTATAGATTTGTGAGGTCATACTGCTCCATTAGATGAAGCAAGTCGTAGAGCTGGATAGGTAATGATGAAGGTAAACAAAATGGATTGGGAAGCTAAGGAGCGATCGCACGTATGAGTTGCAAATGATGAGAGTGAATCTCCTTAAAAATACATGTTCACCGGTGCCATTTTTATCCGATCATTCACCTACTTAATCCAAAGGATATTACAAAAGGAGAGAAGCTTTGGTTGCATTGCGGTAGCAGCGTCCAAGCAGCAGCCGGCAGGGTCACGCGGAAGCAGCGTCAAAGCCGGAAGCTGCAGCCAGGTAGGAGAGACGGAGATGCTTCAGGGCAGCAGTATTGAAGCTGCAACTGGGCAGCGCCAAAGAATCTCTCTTTCACTACCATGCAACGAGGGACTGAAAGGAGGACTAGAAGTAAATAATGAAAGGAAAGAAAATTATAATAAAGTCTGAACAAGGATTATATGCACTTCCCAAACAACAGAGACTTTCAGAGGAAGCTGCAGAACTGACTACAGAAAGAAGAAAATCGGAGGTCACTTTACATCAAATGTGGCTTTACTATGAGCTCCTTGTACCAGCTTAGTTTTCTGTTAATCTTCTCCACACCATCTTCGCACAATGCAACAAGGTCAAGATTGCCATGACATAAAGAAGAGGAATTCCCACCAAGCAACCCCCAGAGGCAAAATTCACAAGTGTCTGCAAAAATGCAGAAGCGGAAAAGATTAGTAGACTTAAAAGTTAAAGAAACACCAGCTCTCTCTCTCTCTCTCTCTCTCTCTCTCTCTCTCTCTCTCTCTCTCTTCACTAGCGAAGCATTTAAAAAACTTTGACATCGTCTATGTATTAAAATCAACCTAAAATCCAACAATCCAGCTATGGTAGCTATGTTCTGTTTCTTTGATCTTTGCATGCAAATATCACCTGCATCACATGCATATGTCCGCATCTATTTCGCTTGCCTTCACAAGATCTATAACAACTAATTAAGTTTATGGGCATCGATACCCTTGGGTGACTCAAATCTAGTGTATTATGAAGCATTTGGTATGCATCCAGCATAACTATATTTAGGTGCATATACAGGAGTGCATAACTTGTTGCCTATCAAACTCCAGAACATCATTCCTTCTTGTCAAGGTTCCAGTACACCATTACATGAGACATTCATGAAACAACTAGGATGGTAAGCAAAGATGTTCGGACAACTCCATCAACACACATGAAAGACATATGGCGCATGTAAACATCTAAACATAGAGCAGGCGAGTCATGCACTCCGCAAGAATAGATATGATCTGTTAACTTATTGTAAGGGAAACAAAATGCAAAACATGCGATAGCCAGAAGAAAAAGCAGTAAATACCATCAATGCTGCCACCATATGAACGACAGGAACAAAAACTTGGTCAACTTTATTCTGTTCTGCATACCCATTGAAGGCAATAACCATTGAGAACGTATGAATAGTGACAAAGGCAAGAGCGATCAATGCTGCCAAGCACAAAAGACTAGTTAGAGAAGTCTTATCAACAAGAGCACTACTAACAATCTTCTCGCAGGTTCCAATTTTCCTATCCTGATCTGCAGTTTGACCTGTTAATTAACAGAGAATGATCAACCAGTTATGCCAGCCTCCTTTAATTTCTAAAAATCCCCAACTGTTATTTTATGGGTCTTAATCTGCAACTGTTATTTTATAGGCTCCCAAAAGCTCTCGCAACATATATGGACTGAACAAATGAAATCAAGATATATGATCTTGAAGTAAACATTCCACTTACCAGAAACGAGGAAAAATGGCATCTTTGAGCACCTATCAATGAAGAAAGTAGCAGGACCAAAAGCTGGTGTCAAGAGGCTCAAACAAAAGAACACAGCATGAGCCACACCATGGCCTAAACCACCAGCTGCATGAGGTTTTTAAAAATAAAATTTGTAAAAAGGTTAGATGAGCTACCAATGTCTTTACATACCCACAAAAAGAAAAATGCAAGGATGGAGGACGTGAGAGCAAGTAGCTCTATATCCATGTAAATAAAAAAAGTAAGGGATTCAGAAGCAGCAGGACCACCTCCAACACTAAATCACCAAATACAAAATAAGCACCTTTAAGTAACAAGGAACTCATGATAGGTAGATTATTTACAAGAGAACAATGCCTTAAAGACATATGACACCTTGCTGATCTATTAAACGGTATAAACTTCACAACATCAGCTTTTATCAAGGACCGTAACTGGCTAAAATATATCTAAAATGTCTTACAGGTTTAACTGCTCCTGTGCATAAAAAATATGATGCATTTATAAGAAAGCTAAATAAAAACTTTATAAGAATGGTACCAACAGGCTACCTACCCTGTAAAAGATTACAGAGAAAGAGAGGTTACCCAGTATAACAAACTATCCAAATTAGAAACTGGGCAAAAAGTAGCTTTTATTAACAGTTTCACCCTTCTTTAGGATTGAATGGTCAAACCCTTTCCCGACCCACCTACCAAGCAAATAAGAATAATGCTAATAAGGCCGAGCTCTACGCTGTCGCGAGCCGCGAGCAATCTTGCCACAGAAAGAGACAGGGATGCAGGGAGAGGGGTGCAGGCAGCGGGAAAGGGTGTTGTCATCGGCATCGGGATGGGGGTGACTCTCGATTGCTGCTGTGTTGTGCTGCATTGTGTGATAAGAGAGAGAGCGGGAGAAAAGAGCAGAAGAGGCGTTTGGGTGTAAATTTCGGGTATGCATGAGGCCAAATGGACTTCATTAGGTTAAAGAGATGTAAAATGCAGACTTTGAAATGTGAGAAGGGATTTTGATACGGACAATAAAGTTGAGGATGGTTTTGGCAATTATCTCCATTGTTTTATAATTAAAATTAGATATAGTATTTCTAAATTATGTAATGTTATATTTTTTTTTTTTTTTTTTGTTAATCGAGGTGTCCGCACAGCCGGCGAGCTAGGGCTCAAACCAGCGGTGATGCCCGACTAGTCCTCGAGGGGGGCTAGCGCAGCATCCCACCGCCACGACCCCCCACTTAAATCACCGATGGGCGAGTTTTGAACCCAGGACCTCTCGTGAAAGGAACTGAGCGCAAACCAACGCGGCCACCGATGGGTGGGTATGTAATGTTATATAATGTATGCGTTTATGTAGAAGAAAGAAAAATGAAGAAAAGAAGAAGAACAAACTTGTGCAACAAGGCATGTCATTGGTTTAAAGATAACAATCATCTTACTAGTCATGATCCAAAATTCCCATCCGGCATGGAAATTTTCTGAATGTGTTTTGCATTGCATGGCTCTTATAAGAGCATACAATAGCATGATGTAAGAAAATAAAAGGCACAATTGGTACAGTTGAATCTACACAACAAAAAGAGTAACTTAGAGCTCACCCAGTGCAATCTGCATCTTGTCCGTGAGAAAAAGGCGAGGCTTTGAGACTCTTTCAGCAAAAGCATCCAGAATATCTTCCAGCCTCCTAAATATATACATTAGAAGAAGTTAGGAATGACTATGAAAAGCAGCCTCAATTTTAAGCAGTTGTTCTCCAATAACAACAAGAACATTCAATGTACAGAAGCAAATGTCAGAGAACGTAAGAACATGCAAATGGTCAAGACTCTGACCAACCTAGAATGGAAGAAAATCTCATTAATGGTAGTTGGCTATAGAGGAAATTTACCTAACTAGAGAAGCTTTTGAAAGGTAATGTTAGGCAATGATGTCTCTAGTTTTCTTTAATATAGTTTGTGTCTCTAGATTTTCTTAGTATAGTGCAATGTACAGGCAACAACCATAAGGACTTGCACATGATATTCCTATATCTGGAAACAGCATATCATAAGACTCCTAAGAAGTCCTTTTGAGGGTTAGAAGAAGGGGTTCATGCTGCATACATACAAAGAATGAAAGACATGTATAAGAGAGTGGTGCCTTCCGTTATGGTACATGGAGGGGTAACAAAAGATTCCAAATAACTATAGAGCTATAACATCCACAATGATTCTTTTCAACTCTTTCCATCAATGACAATGTGCTAGTAGATGAATATCGTACACAACTGAACGCAAAACTAGAATTATGGAGGGAAATCAAAGAATAGAAGAGTTTTTATGTATGTCAGTGAAAGACAAATTTGCAAGGAGTGCAATTGTAGTATACAAAGAGGTTTAAAACAAAGCTATGGTAAAGAGTGAAGATCAGTAGACACAAAAGAGCATTGATATTGATGTTTTGTGCAGACAAACGAGATGGCTGTAAAGGACTACATTTGCAATATCTTCAGTCTTGAAGAAGGCAGAGCAATCATACAACTATCCCTTGCTGTCTAGAGAAAATTGTGGAAACAAAAAATAGTCTTTACCATCTATAGGGAGCTAGTTAGAAAGACATTTGATGATAGAGAAACAAGTCACGTGAGAAGATGCACTTTCCAAATGGAAAGAGAAAATGGTAAATCCCCTCAAACTTTTCAGTTCGTAGATGAAACAGATTGTTAATTCTCGAAACTGCTCATTTTGCTCTTCACCGAGTACAATACGTGGTCATCAAAGACCCAATGTTTTCTCCACAATCAATCTTCTGGTTCTAGTTTTGAAAGAGATGAGACAGACTTGAGCGCATTAAAGAAACAGATTCATAGGAAGATTAAACTTTATACTTTTGAATACTCTGTCAATCAACTTCTTTTTCTACAGTTGGATAATTTATAAATAACCAAGTTTTGAAGCCTTCTGCAGCAACAGTTTTACGCTTTTGAATTCCTCAGAGATCACAATGTGCCTTACTACATTTGCAGGACCAATAAATCAGGCGGACCAAAGGAAAGTAAACTTACAAATATCCCAAGTGTGCATAGGCAGGGTATTGATGATTTTTTTTTCCATGATATAACAGAACTGTATACATCTGAATCTAACCTAGAAATTCCATATTGAAAATGGACAGAGAAGAACTCAAATGATTTACGTAGGATATTAAATTTTTGGCAACAGAAGTTTCATAATGAAAAAATTTCAAGTGCCCAGTGAACTTTATAAAAATTTTATAAAAATATACTGAAAGTCATAACTATAACAGTAAAAATATTGTAATGTCAAGCTGCTTTAACATGCTTGAAAAGGAACATACAGGAAGACTAGGACCTTACTTGTAAACTCTCCATAAAAAGATTCGAAGCCCTTCTTGAAATCCGACAGACATGATTATAAGGATTGCGTATGGCCACCATGTTGTTGACTTCAGAGGAAGAAACGCCCTCCATATTCCCGACAGCACAATCAGACTTATAAGCCATAGTAGTGTACTGCAGAAGTTTGAACAGACCCGACTTTCAATGTTTCATAAGACAACAAATGCACAAAAGAAGCATGTCATCTCGATATATAGGAATTTTTTCTTTTTCAAACTAAAGCAATTTATTGTTGGATCATCTCACTCTCTGCCATCCCTTTTCTGGTAGAATAGGATGTTAACTAATCAAGACAGGGTACAATCAATGCATACAGGAAAGAAAGGTCGCCTCAGTAAAGATTTAAGAAAACAACAATGGGCACACCCACAAGGAAGACAAAGATTAGCCAAAAGAATTCATTCTGCAACAGATTTGCGCCCCCTCAAACAGCAGATATTTTTTCCTCGAATATTCAAATATCCCACGCATGCAATTAAAGTAGGGATCCCCGAAAGTTTGTACCAAAATTCACAACCTTGCACCACCTCTAGGAATGAAGGCCATCTTTAACAAGGCATCGTATCCCCAAGAACAAATTGCATAAAGGCCCTTTTGAGGTCCATTCTTTAATTTACGTAACACTATAATGACCTGGGGCATTGACAGGAAATCACTACTAATTCCTGAAGAAAAAGTTCATCGATACCACTAGCGAAGACCCTTGTAGTTGCAAAACACAATACATAGAGGCCTCATCAGTAGTTGATTATGAAGCTCGAACCCACTTCTAAATCGAGCTCAAAAGTGCAGATACAATACACCAACTCGAGCCAACTTTTCCCAGGGAATCGAACAGCGAGCGGGCGAGCGAGACGGAAAGAACAACATAATTGGCTCGTTCTAGAAATCAATGATGGAGATCAATTCCGCCAAATTTGCAGACGCGAACTTCGACTCTAACTCGATATCGGAAACCAATCGCGCCCATCCGAGAACGAATCGCAAGCGAAGCTTCGCGCCGGAATCCGATCACGAAGACACAGAGAGAGAGAGCAGGAGGGAGATGGAACCTGGAGAGGAGGGTGAGGATCAAGAAGGGCTTCTTGGAGACGACGGAGACGAACAGGGAGAGCGCCGGCCCCAGCGCTATCAGCGCGTACCCGATTCCCGCTTCCACCGTCATCTTCTTCTTCTTCTTCTCCTTCTTCTTCTCCTCTCTCTCTCTCTCTCTCTACTTCAACTTCCCAACATTGCTCCCTATTCAATTCTTCTCATTTTCAACGTACCGATTTATTATATATGGTCGGGAAAATATAATGTCCGAAAAATAACAAATTTCTTTAATTGAGCTAATATAAAACCCTTTTACTTTTAGATAATAAATTTACTGTTTTGCACATCGAAAAAAAGGGATTCGGGTTTACCTCACTCGTTGCTGGAATATTCAATTTAAGGCGTGAGCGAAGCACTGACCGTCCACAGAGCGGCCCTATCAATGCAACCTCATCAGGTGCGAGTGGGGAAACTGACCATGGGCCTAAAAGCCCAAACTTTGTCATTTATGGGTTCACTGAAATTTTATGGAATCAAGAATTGCTTGATCAACTGTCTAGTCGGTTGCTAAAATTTGGTATTATCGTGATAGAAGCAAGACGCTTTTGCTATCCGTGAGAAAACGAGGTGGAATGATGTTTTGCCCTGATAATATATACATAGATAGATTAGTAACAATGCTACATGTTACCAAGACCGTCTATTAAATTTATTTAGTCAATAAGGCATAGATTTTTCCTGGCTATGCCTCACCTCACTTAAATAGTTTTCGCCCAAAAAAAAAGAAGCTTAAATAATTCCTTGTAGAAAATTCATACCATTTAAGAAATCAATTTAATCAATGATTGTTAATACTTGCTCTTTTTCCTTGCCAAAGTAACGTCAAGAATGACTAATATACCCTGCTTTAATATTTAATTTTATCTATTTATTATTTTTTATGCCTGTTAATTTTCACCTATAATTCCTTCCAATTTCTCCACTGTCACGCGCATCTCCGAAGAGCTTTTGCACAATCAACGAGCGAGAGAATGGCGTCGTCGTCGTCGTCGTCGGAGGGGGAGGATCGGAGGGCGTGGGTCCCGCTCGGCTCCCGGCCGGAGTTCGCCGACGTGGCGCCGCTGCCGCAGGACGACGGCCCGAGCCCCGTCGTGGCGATCGCCTACAGGGACGACTTCCGGGAGACCATGGACTACTTCCGATCCCTCTACAGCTCCCGCGAGCTCTCCCCTCGCGCCCTCCTCCTCACCTCCCTCGCCATCTCCTTCAACCCCGCCAACTACACCGTACGATTCTCTCTCTCTCTCCCTTTCTCCCTCTCGGATTCCTTGTCCATGGCGATAGCGATTGGTTTTCCCAAAGTTCGGCCGCCTTTGCTTCGATGGATGTCGGTCATCTCCTGCTTCGAGACGACGGGTTTTGCCTTTCTTGGGCTTTGCCCATGATTGCGGTTTCCTTTTGCAGGTGTGGCATTTCAGGCGTCAAGTGCTGGAGGCGCTCGATGCGGACTTGAACGACGAGCTCGGCTTTACTGAACATGTGGCCAAGGGGAACGCCAAGAACTACCAGCTTTGGTAAGTGGAACTCAGTTATATACGACTGCTCAATCGGATGCTCTAAAGGCGAGTGGGAATTACCTTAAAAATGGCTTCTTTTCTGCTCTGAATCTGATCTCTTAAATCCGCCGGCGGAAAGGTTAAGCTCCGGTTAGGAATGGTGTCGACAGTGTTATTCTTTTTTTATCTGAAATGGGTTCCTTTATGTCTAGTCTAGCTAGACTTGCTTGGCTTCTATAGAATTTCAAGTCCACGTTTAGTTCTTAGGATAACAATGATAGTTCGAGCATGTTGTGCGTTCGTGGATGCAGCATGTTGTTGAAATTACGGGGCATCTTAAGATATTTCTCGTTTATGTGCAGAGGATGTTTGGAACTCTAGTTTTCCTATTGCTCTGTTGACAAGTTGGAGCCTTTTTGGCTTTCATAACAGTCCTCGATGCTAGCTCCAGACTGATGGATTTAATATAGGAAGAATCACGACTAATTCAAAACAAGAGACACAAAACTCTTGGGGCTCCGTGTTTTGAGATTTTTGTGTATGCAGGTTCACACTCCCCTGGTGCCTCCTTAACTACTGTCTTTCTAACTGATAAAAAGAAAAGCTTGATTATAATTGCACAAAATTCTCCTTCTGTTGATCTGTGACATCCACCGTAATGGACACTCATGGTGATTATTAGTTCCTTTTAGGCCTTCCGGTGACTATTTGTCGAAGCCCATATTGCGCATCATTATTTCAGCTCATTGAAAACTTTCTACTATACGCTCAGTAGTTTGAATAACAACATCGTGTTTACTTTTCCATAACAAGTGCAATAACTACTCCTAAATATGCAACTTAAGGGAGACAAATCCCTAGATGATGACTTGAGTAGTGTCGCAAGTTTCTAAGTTGTATATTGCAAGGGTTACTCTTGCTCTTCATATCCAACTGTGAATGCCAAATTTTATGATGTTGGATTTAAATTCTTAACCAATGTAATGATATTTTCTTTCAGTCAGATACCACTGCATTAATTTTGTCTTCGTATTTTTACAGGCATCATCGGCGTTGGGTTGCTGAGAAGTTGGGATCTGATGCTGCATATAGGGAACTCGAGTTCACAAGGAAGATATTCTGCCTAGATGCTAAAAATTATCATGCCTGGTCTCATAGGCAGGTAGTGTATCTTTACCGCCGTTCTACCTTATCTGTGGGCATTCATGATGTGTGTCTGTATATGGCTTTTGACGACCATTAACTATCACTTCTTAGTCTCTGTCTTTATGGATGGTGGTCAAAGAAAAGAGCATGCATTGTGTTAGCCTCAATTGAGTTACTTATACCCGACAATTGGATTATGTTACGTTTGACCTGGTTTTGAATTGGTAAACTATCCAGCATAGTTTGATGAGAACCACTTTGTGAATTATCCTACTCTCTGGAGAGTTAGTCGGTGCTCCACCGGTGGGCCTTGCGCTTCCTCATCAATTAAAAATTATCCTGCATAATAGCAGAAACAGGATTTGAACCCTTCTTGTATATAGCATTCAGCTTACTGGATGCCTTTTGGTTTATTCAATAACCGTACTTGATATAGCACTACCTGTAAGTATCATTTGCGTACTACTGAAGTGGTAGTTCATCAATTGAGCCAGTTGAACCCATATCAGCCCCATACCATGTTTAGTCTGGTCCACTTTTGAAAATATTTACTGCAATTGTTTATAGATTTTTCGAATTGTCGGAGTGAAAATATTTCTTTGGTGCAGTGGGTTCTTCAGGCTCTAGGCGGTTGGGAGAATGAACTTGACTATTGTGCGCAACTTCTTGAGGAAGACGTGTTTAACAATTCTGCTTGGAATCAGGTATACTGAAACTTTTGAAGACGTAAATGGAATGCATTTAGAAAAAGCTTTTTAGGTCTTAAACACACACTAAAGATTATGCATCTGTTAAACCAATTCGATGCATTGGCTTGCAGAGGTACTTTGTCGTCACAAAATCTCCTTTCCTTGGAGGTCTAAAAGCTATGAGAGATTCTGAAGTTGATTATGCTATTGAAGCTATCAACTCGAATCCAGAGAACGAGAGCCCGTGGAGATACCTTCATGGCCTTTACAATGATGAAAATGACGCTCGGCTAAACGATTCTCGAGTGCCTTCAGCATGTCTGCGTGTTCTGAAAGCCAAAAGAAACTTCAAATTTGCTTTGAGTACACTGTTGGATCTGCTTTGCCTCGGTTTCAAACCTAACCAAGAAATAAGGGACACAATAACCTCTTTGAGGACTACAGATTCGGGTGAAGTAGGTTCAGACTCAGATCTGGCTAAATCAATTTGTTCTATATTGGGACGTGAAGATCCAATGAGAGCCAATTATTGGACGTGGCGAAGCAGCAAAACTTCCTCAAGCAGCTGAAGTCTGACATCCAATATGAACTGGCTTTTTTGTAAGCTGTTGACTCATGCCTTGAATTTTGCTCTGAATCCGCTTTTAGAAGGTGTTAGTAGGTAAGGATGCGTACCTAGTTCATAGTAAATTGCAAAGTGCAGATCTGCAACTCAATATGAGCACCTATCAGCCACTAACATGGCAGGCATATATTAGGGCTTTGTAGATTCAATTGTACTTCATGAGTCAGATGGCTCTTTGTCGTGAGGGGTCTTTCTTAACTTAAACTACTTGCTTGTTATGGACTCTATTGATGTAATTGCAGCATGATTCGATTGACGAAATAATTCCTGTCCTGCTCAGAAACCGCATCCGAGTCATTTTGCTCATCGGTCATGGGTTTGTGCGTGACGGTCAATACTAGATCTACCAATTTGTTGATGATCCGATGCCCATCGGTCATTGGTTAGTGCGTGACAGTCAATACTAGATCTACCAATTTGTTGATGATCTGACGCCGCGGTTTTCTTTTCTAGAGGGAGTTGTTAACGGGAAACAACATCAACAGCTCCCTGCGAGCATCGGCTTTGTCGATGCAAAATTCCAATCAAATCAAGATGGCTTGCATCCAAAGCTCGCGATCTCCTAACACTAATTAAGTAGCGATTCTGCCGGCGAAATTAGGGGAGCAAGTGCATTACGAGCCCTTTAACATTTCCCTCTTTGGTTAATTCACGCCTCAACATTCCATTAACAAAACCGAGAAAAAACCATGGGAAAGAGACATCGGCCGACCATGAAGAGGCACACATGCATACCAACAACTGAGGTCGTTTCCACTCAATTAGTTTTTCCATTAAAAAGAAAATCCCGACTGTACAAGCAATTCTTCCTATTCTTCTTTTTTTTTTTCCTCTTTTTTGGGCTATGTTGAGAAAAGAGAGGGGAAAGGGGACAAGAAAAGGGTTTTAACAGGAGAAATTTGCCTCATCCTCCGCAAATTTCAACAAAAAACTCAAAATTGAGTGCTTGAGATTACCCTCGACTCCTTTTCTGGTCTCGAATACTCCCTTTATAATCCTAGTGTAGAGCCTTTCAAGCTGAGGAATGACATAATTATCTGTACGCTCGATGAAGAGCTGCTTGACCGATGCCACTTGATCCGAAACATCAGAATCCAACATTGATGCGTCATTTGATCTACCGCTGTCATCGCCGTATTCCGTAGCTGCTTCGGGAGGTTCCGCAGTGCTGACGTCAGCAGGAGAGGGTTCAGGCCTCTCAGGAGCCACATCACTTGCCTCCGGATCATGGGACGACTTTGACAGACCTGAATCTTGGTTCCTTAACTTTTCTTCCTCTGGGGATACAGAAACGTATCATACACGTTGGTTTCCATCTTTCTAAACAAATATTAGGCTTAGCTTAAATATGAAGAGGCCTACAGAGAAGAATATGTTCGATCTCCCAGCCGTTTCACCTCATGTGAAGGGCATGGTAAATAGAGAGTAGATACTTCAAAAGACCGGATGCCATTAGGGAGTGCATAAGTGAGCAGGACTAATTAGAGAGACTTGGTATCTCGATCATATTGATGCAAACACCATAGTATCTCCAAGGAGTTGCTACAAAGTGGCACATCCAATACGCGCTTTTCTTTTTCCGCACATGTCCATAAACAAGCTTAACTTCGAAAAATTGCACTTTGGAGATGTTTCTGCATCCATGTCCAACTATTTTATTTACATTCACGAAAAACAAGTACTCTGTCCAATGTCCTACAGGAGCCCCCTTATTGTAATAGAATCCAGCACTGCCCCTATTTTAAACTAGGAAAAACCTTACTTTTTTATCCATGTGCTTTCACACTTCTTCTATATCAAGGCCGTGTACCTTTACTTAATCTAATCAAGTCCTTCCACTTTCAATAATTTCTAATTATGTCCATCCAACACCAAATCCGGCCAAATCTAGCTGATGTAGTGTGATGTTGGTAAATATTTTCTAATATTGATCTCCATATGCGGGTTCGCGTGGCTAAATTTTATCCACATCGCACTCCGACGTTGTCTAGATTGGTTAAATTATTCCGCATACGTTAACATGGGCATCTGCAAATTTTATTCGCATCATACTTTGGTGTTGTCTGATGACCATGTCAGCTAAATTTGGTACGATATGATGTCAGAGGGAATTGACTAGAAAATTTGTGAAAGTTGAAGGACTTAATTAGACAAATTAAAAGGACAGGAATTTGATTAGAAAAAGCGTGAAAGTACTAAGTTGAATTTTCCCATTAATCTAAGATCTTTATGCCTTCAAAAACAAATTTACAGAATGCGGCAAATCAAATAGTATAAAGATTGTTAGGTAAATCTTGAAAGAGCTACTGGCTGCATCATTATAGTTCTTCTAGCAAAAATTTCATTGAAACATTTCAGAATAGATGCGCAAGAAAGTGATTGTACCTGCATGTTGGCCATCAAGGTTCTTCTTCGGTCGTTTCAGCGCCACATAGCTTTGGTCTAAATTTAACTCTGGCTGGACATTCCGAAGTCGAGCACTTGCTCTAGTAACTGTTCCAAGATGCACAGCAGGGGTCGAAGGAAAGGTTGACCCAGCTAAATCATCTGGCAAGTTGATTGGGCCACCTTGAGCAGCAATCTTGTCACAGTATGTAACCAGGGCAGGGTCCATCTGTGACAACATTCCATACACCTGAAGGGGGAAAAAAGGGTTTAAATTATTTCCATGTACAGCAACCTCGATGTCCCAGAAAAAGTGAAGGAGGAGAAATTACATACCGCATCACGAAGCTCATGAGCTCTGCTAACAATTCTAGCGCCATTGTAGTCATCTCCATTATAAGCCTGAAAGTAAGATATTAAGAGGAAAAAGCTTACAACAAGGAAACTTTGAGATGTCCAAAAGCCCAGTCGGCATGAGTCTCGTAATTTTGAATGGTATTTCTACCACTAAGACATATAATATCCACGCCAAAAGAAAGTAACATTTTAGTGTCAATATGCTGAAAATGAGAAGGGCAGTTCTACAATGTCAGCTGACTGTCAAAAAATGCCGATAAACTAATTACTACCCTTCTTGTCATAACATCGAGTAAAAAAAAATTTCAGATCCCTCATGTAAGAGGAAAAATTTGCAGTCTTGACTAGTTGATGATTGGTGCACCTAAAGACATCGCCGTGTAGAATCTCTTTTTTTTTGGTAAGGGAACCCGTGTAGATTCTCTAATAAAGGAAAACTCCAACATAGGCACCACATTCTAAAGAAAGATTAGAAACAAGTGTAACACGTGCACGATCATCAAATATTACAGCATGTATTAGAGGAGCGTGCAACAACACCAGTCAATACTATTAAAGACAACATCGATGATTGTGTAGAAATTGGCAACCAGATCAATGTAAGTTTGCAGGATCACAAGGAGTCCACACCAACAGTGATAAATTCACAAATTCATATGACAATCAAATGACATAAGGCGCATTTGAAATGAGCAGAGTAAAATCCTTTCAATTACCTCAGAGCATCAAATCTTATCATAAATCAAGTGTGAGCTCATTTGCTTTGGTGCTATCTCGAAGATCTATGATTTGGTAGCAATCGGGCAAAGCTAATCAGCAGACTAAGGTGGCAAATACAGAAATTAAGGTGAAGTTATGATTCTTTAATAGTACATGTTCTTATCTCTCTAAGTCTATCATATATGCACACCACAATAGGTGTCTTCTTTAGCCAGCTATGGAACATAGCAATAAAATCAAAGCTCTTCATACTATGCAGTTTCCTATCCGCAAATTACCCAGGGAAATACTTCAATTAATAATTGATATATGGACTAGAATATACTGAGAGAAACATATCGAGAGCCATACTTTTGCGTTAGTAACAATTAGATCCACATCCTGCAGGAATGCTAAACATGTAATGTACTGTCCAGAGTCAACATGCTGCAGTACAGTGGACACGTCCATCGGGTTCTGAATGATCGAACGATAGTTTGGAGCATCTTCATCTGTCACTGGATAATGAAAGACACTAAATCTTTTGTCATACAGAATCCTGCAATCCATCAGACAGCAATGTCAGGGAAAATAGTGAATCTCTTCTGAATTGTATGTTGCTTAAAACCACTAGCTCATTCACTTCCAGAACATCATTTGCATCTTACTAAAAAATGCCCACTATCCAGGATTTTAATTTTATAGCCCACAGCCGCCATAAGCATAATTGCGCGTTGATCAACAAAATGAACCCCATGGTCTGACTCCAAATAATCCATCAATCAGCCCAACGTTCTCCAGGAACTTACCCCAAAACGAAAAAATAAATTAGGGAGTTAAGCCTCAGATCAGTATACCTGTTGCAAATATCTCTAAGGCACATACGCAGTCGTCGAAGTGCATGCTGCTCAGCCTCAAACTTAGCTTTCAGTTCAGAGGCCTTTGGGCCAGTTGCTACTTTAGGTGCCTTGGGAAGATCGGGAAGACACACAGATCTTGGGCATTCTTTTGTGATAACGTCAGAAGCGACTGACAAGGCAGCTTCTATTAAATTGTTGAAAAAGGAATCTCTATCTTCAACGGATGGTCTCTCCACTTGATAGCTGGTAAAAACAAAATTAAACATATAACTCTATCTTACAGCCATGCACATAAACAAATGAATTGCTTATATGCACAGGTGATCTCGCACAAACAAACTGAATGTATCATAACTATAGCCGGCTTATAAGCAACACGTACACGGTACGTGGAGGGAAAATCAAAGTGACATCCTTATCAAGCTGGTCAGGTGCTTCTACTGATACTCCAAGCAATAATACAGGCAAGTCTGATGGCAATTCCTCCAAGAGAGTCAGTAGGACAGCCCTCAACTGATCATGTGCCTGCAAAATTAACCGATCAAGATCATTGGCAGAAGAACATAAACCAAAAATGCTGTATCTATTATACACAAACAACCGATTCACACTGAATCTCGAGAAGGGTCGGTTGTAGCATCAAAAGGGATAAATCACAAATGCATATGCACTCACTGTTTCCCACCAAAGATGGAACTGAGGTAAATAAAGTATTGATGGGGTAGTTCTCCTGGCTTCACCAAATATATGAACCAATGCTTCTTCAGGTGTCTTCGCGCTAGGATCTGAAAGAAGAGACGGAAGTCCAAGAGAATGCACGGGGAACTTCTCCAGTTCATGCAAGATAGCAGGCCCGAGATGATCCTGTCAGACTAAAGCAGTAAGTTTACTTAGTCTAATACTCACAGAAACAAACTATTCAAATCAAGTGGTTCCAAGCAAATTACCAGCCCAACGCCTTCA